CACCATTATTCTCCTTAGCTTGCTGAGAAGAAACCAAGGGCACAGAGACACTGAGTGACTTGCCCAAGGTCACACAGCTGGTAAGCGGCAGAGCCAGGGTTTAAACCCAGGCAATTTGCTCCAGAGCCCCAGTGCTTCAACACTACAAAAACTGTCCCCCGATGTACAAAACGTGATTGAAACCAAATCATTCTTAAACAAGTATTGTCATCGTTTCACTCTTCCCAGGATCAGTCTTCTCTTGCTAGCCAGACTGAGCCCCCAGAGTGGGGCCTGTCCTGCCCTTCTGCCTCTGGCGCGGCTGTGCTCCTCGGTATGGATCAGCCAGGATGATCGACTAAAGGCATCTCTAGGGGGAAACAGCCTCTTCCAGGACTGGTTTAGAAGGGCCCATCCTCTCTAAGTCAATGCATGTCACCTGTCCCTGCAACAGAATCTACCAGTGGGAAATCCCAAGGCCTGGACTGCAGAAGCCAGATCCAGGATGTCAGATTCTGGGAATGGACGTGGGGGAGAGGCCTTTGCTCTTCACATTTGAAGAACGAGGAGGCTCTAAATTTCAGTGTCACCTTTGGAGAAGGCAAGAGACCTGGTCTTAAGGCCCCCATGCAGCCAACAGTGACAGTCCCACTGTATAAACAGGGGTGGTGGTAATGACAGAGAACAGAAACAGCCCCAGGCCACAGGATCTCCCCCAAGGCAGTGGTAAGGAGCCTGGATAAAGAGTTGGGGGCCCTGGGTTCCAGCCTGGGTTCTGCCACCAGGTCGTTATGTGTCCCGGGGAGCCGTCCCACCTCTCTATGCCTCAGCTTCCCAGCCAAAACGGGGCTGGGCCCGAATGATCTCCAGGTCCTCCAGACTCAAGGAGCTCAGCAGCCACACCTTCAGAGGCCACGCTCCTGCCACCGCCAGCTCTCCGTCCATGCCACGGCCCCCACTACGCATGGTGAGAGGGCGGAGCAGAGCCCCATGGTGAATCACACCCACCAGCAGCGGCCAAAGAGAAGCCAGGCAGCAGCAGGAAAGTCCAAACCCACGCACATCCCTCCTCTCAGTGATTCCTGCCCCCCCTTCAGCCCCGGCCCAAGCCCATTATTAACTGTAATTAAGGAACAGGGAGGAAGGACTTAGAGCTTCCCCCAGGGAGACCGCTCCACCCCAGCCATGAGAGGTCAACTCTCAGGTAGACCCGGTCACTCATGGGAACGTTACAGGCTGTTCAAAGGCCTTCTGGCTTCTCCTGGTCAGAAACTACCTCCGGCCCCCAAGACTCAGCAGAAAGTGTAACTCCCCAGGAAGAAGAGACAGGCTTCTGCAGGAGGAGACAAGCAGGGGTGGACTCTTCCAGATCGGGCCTGGAGTAAAGTCTCCTGGCCTGCATGCTGGCTGTCACCCTCTGAGGCACACAGTAGGTGCTTAACAGATGTTTGTTGAAGAAATGAACAAATAAACCATCTCAAGACCCTGAACCAGAGACAGACGTCCATAGTGCACACAGCAGCGGGCAGCTAAATGCACACAGCATTGCTGTCGCGAATGAGAAACGCCTCCCTTGTCCTGCGTGCTCTGATGCGGTGATGCCAGAACCAGCCGCTGGGACAACGAAGGCTGTTAGCACCAAAAGGCCCAGCCTGCTCTGCTTGCTGGCACTTCTGTCCTCCCTCTTCCCGGTCCGCTCTGTAGCCTGCAGCAGGCCCACCCCCACCTGTGGCTTTGAAACTGAAGGCTGCCAGAAACAAAACGGGAAACACAACTCCCCAGCTCAGGAATCAGGGACCTTCGTTTTTTGTACACTACAGAGTCAGGTTCTGGGTGAAGACAGCTCCTGGTCTCCTGCAGAACAAAATGCATGTGCTTGATGACAGTACTGCCCTCTTTGCTGGCTGTAGGAATCGACGCTGCTAGGAGATGAGGCTGCCCGAGTCAGAAAGAACTACTTTGTCATGAGTGGTGGTCACACTAATAATGACACTCACTGCTCATTCCTATATTCAGAGTACACTTGAGCCATCTCAGCGACAGGGCAGGCTCTCTACCCAGACTCCACACTCGCAGTGGGTCTCTTTCCTCCTTCCCTTCCAGCACCCTGGAGGGAGTGTTCCTCCTCCGCTCTGAGGCTAATCCTCCATCCCTACCCCATGCCCTAGGCCCACCCCTCGCCTCTCCCAAGGGCACCATTCCACAGAGAACCCCTCTCTCTTCACCTCAACATCTCCATCACTACTGTCCTACCCTAGAATATAAACTGCCCAATCCTCTCCCATTGTCACACCAAAATTCTGGAGAGGTGTCCACACTCACCATCCCATCCCCCAGCTGCCATGCACTCCCTAACCAGGCTCCTGCCCCAGCAGCCACATGTCAGTCCTCCTGCTTGACCCACAGCACTTGGTGCTGCTGACAGCCCTGCCTTCTGAGAATCGGCCCCTCCCTTGCTCTTCTGCTGGTCCTCCCACCTCTCCCCCAGGGCCCTCTCAGTCGCCCTGACAGGCTTCCCTTCCCTCTCCCATCCCTAAATGTCCGTGGTCCCGGGGGCCCCATCACTGCCCTCCTCTCCGTGTGACGGCACCTACTCCCTTGGCTCCGGTGATCACCTGCAGGCTGACGTCCACTCCTGAACCTCTCTCTCCAGCCCACTGCTTCCCCTGAGCTCCACACCTGCAGGTCTGCAGGGTATGGCCAACAAGAGGCACATGCCGCCAGATGAACTCACCATCACCCACCGTCCCCCTCAAAGCCTTCCCTGTTTTTCTGAACAGCCCGAGCATCCATTCAGTGGCCCAAGACAGGAAACAGGGTGCCCTCCATGACTCCTCTCTCTCCTCACCCTCCCACTTCACCAGTCACCAAGACCTGCTGCTTCTCTACCTTCTGAACAGCTCTTAGAGCGTCTCCCCCTTTCCTGCCACTGTCCTGGTTCCACCGCCATTATCCCTAGCCTGTATCTCTGCAGTGGCTTCTGAACAGTCCCTCTGCTCTAGTCTCTGCACAGAAACCATGTTAACATTTTTCGGAAGCATAGGTCTGACCATCTCTCTTAAAGCCTTTCAGGGCTCCCTACAGCCTACCAGATCTCATACCCACCCCCGCTGCTCTGTCCCCTACTTCTCCTCCCTGCTTCCAACTCCACCCTCTGCCACATCGGGTCACTTTCAGCTCCGCAGGCAGGTTCCCTCTCTCACATCTGGGCCTCACCCATGCTGTTCCCTCCACCACCCACACTCTTCCCACATCCCCTACAGAATTCTGACTCGTTCTGCCATCTCGGCTTGGAAGCCACCTCTTCCAGGAAGACTCTTTAGATTTTGTAACAAGGGGGTTCTAGATTCCCCTCCAAGGTGCCACCACAGCGCCCTGTGCTTTCCCATCACAGCCCCCACGCCCTCAGATAACACACGCGCCCTTCCTTAACCTGCACCCCACCCCAGACTACAAGCTCCCTGCAGATGGAGGCTGCACCACTTGTTCTCGACTGTTCCTGCAGTGCCAGCAGACGCTGAGTGCACGCCCAATAAACAGCTGTTAAATTAATAAATGAATGTCTCCTAAAGAGTACCCAGTTGAGAGAGGGAGGAAATGGAGGGTGTTGGGGAGGGGTTCACAGGTTCTACTTTGGACTTGGAGGCAGGCTTGCCAAGGGATGTGGGACCTGCTACCCACACACCAGCTACAGAAGGCTCCTCGGCCAGCCATAGGGTCCAGAGCCACATGAAGGGCGGGCCTCCTGGAGCAAGGAGGCAGGAGCAGAAAGGATGGATGAGGCAGACAGCTCTGGGCTCAGCTGCCTGGCAGGACAGGGCAGAGGAGAGCCAGGGGCTGGCTGCTCTGGGCATCAGGGCTCTGTGTGCACACGGCCTGCCCTTCTCTCTCCTCCCTCCTACTTCTCCACCCACCTGGTGACTCTCGCCTTCTCTGGGACCACCTCACGCCGTCCTTGCACGAATCCCGTGGTCCTACTCTTTCCCCACCCTGCTCATCTCCCCTTCCTCCAGCCTTAGCTCTCCTGGCCTTCTCCCACACCACCCTCCTAGGTGGGGTGGCTACGTCCTCTGGGCTCTAGATTCCCCTGGCAGATAGACACAGAGAGCTGGCCAGTCACCCCATTACCAAGTCCTCCCTCCTGAACCCCGGGCCCACCACAGCCACCTCCCGGGCTTACCCTCAGTCAGCCCCAGGTGGATGCTCCAGTAGATCTGCAAACACTGCAGCTCCTTCTTCATGCCCCGCTTGCAGCGGCAGTCATAAAGCGGGCTCTCCTGCAGGACCTCCAGGGCCGCCTGGCACTCCTTGTTGGCCAGCATGGTGTTGCGATCACGGCCTGCCAGGCACTGCCGCAGCGTGCGGTAGCGGGAGCTGCAGTTGGATTCGGCCGCACACAGCTCATTGGCCCGGACACAGTCCACCGAGGGGCGCCAGCCGTGGAGCTCGGGGCCCTGCAGGGAGGAAGGGCTGGCCAAAGAGCGGAGGGTCTCGTCTGGGTGGTGGGGAGGGAAGACAAGCATCAATGAGGACCCCAGAGGCCGGCCCAGGGGCGGGGGCCCTTCTGGGAACTTCACGCCCACTTTACACCAAAGCACACCAAGGCCAACGTGGTGGAATAGCCCTCCTCAAACCCAACGAGATCAGCCGTCCTTCTCCCCTGGCTCCACCAGGGTGGCTTCCTCCTTAGCACTGGCACTGGGGCTAGGAGCATAGCACAAGAAAGCCAAGAAGTCCCTTGCTCGAGACTACAGATAGTCTAAGATACCAGGAGTCCAGAGAAGAATGTCACAGCCTCAGCACAGAGCTGGGAGCTGCAGGGCTTGCTGGGGTGCAGAGGTGGGCTCTCAGATCAACACCACCCCAGGCCTCCTGCAAACCCCACTCCAGCCAGAGGCCCATCCAAGGCGCTGTGTGAAGCTGTGAAAGCAGCAGGAAGTCACTGAACTTGCACACAGTCTGTTAGGACCTTAGAGAGACACGCAGTCTGGCCCCCACATTCTACCCTTGGGAGACTGAGGCCCAGAGAACAGAGATGACAACTCAAGATCACCCACAGAAGCAGAAAAGCCCCTCCGACCCCTATTCTACTCATTCTGAGTTGTTAGACTGTAAGAGAAGACAGGGAGAGAGAAGCCGAGCTCTACGGTCCAGGCGTGCCCAGCAGGGAGGGGCTGCCCCATTCCCTTCCAGCCCAGCCCGACTCTGCACCAGATGGAGACCTGAGCTCTGCCTTCCATGGGACAAGTTCAACCCCAGCTCCCCCAAAAGCAAGTGCTTTAGGCAAGCCTGTAGAGCAAGTCCCATTCCTCCCCCCGGCCCTGCCTCTCCTGTCCCTGCCTCTCACGCCTCTCCTGCCACCTCACAGGGGGTGTGATTCTCCACCACCTTTTATCCGTTCTCCTTGACGGGCCCTCTCTCTCCTCTTCCTCTCTCTTTTTCATTTTCTCTCCTCTCCTCCCCACTCATCCCCTGAAACCCTCTCTCCTTGTCTCTCCTTCTTTTCTGCCTTCCAAAAGCCAAATAAATCAATTGCAAATGGGAATTTTTTTCCCCAGACCTCCTTCGGACTCTGGCCTGGAAGATCGACCCTCGCTTCTCTGCAAATGAGCAAGCACCAATCAGCCAGCCCTCTCCATCCTTTGCCCCTGGTGTCCAAACCCATGGTGCTCCAGAAGGGAGGGCATTGGGGGGAGAAGATTATTCAGAGGTGAAGGGCAGGGAGAGGCCAGCCTGATGCCTTCAAGGCCAAGCTCCCAAAATGGTTTCTTCCAGACAGACATCCTCTTCCCAGTCCCCCTGTCCTCTCCTAAGGCCCTGATTCCATATCCTGCCCCAGAAAAAGCCCATCCCATGTCCCAGAGCCATGACTGCTTTTTCTAAGATGCAAATAGTGACTTGGGGGACTTCCTCCACTCCGTCCCACCCCAAAGCATAATAAAATCGTAGGCCACAAGTCTCCCCCTCAGAATACCGCAGAATCCCCTCGTCCTACCAAGAAGGGCCACTCCTTCCCTCAGGAGGCCCTGCTCAGGGGGGAGCTACTGCAGGGGGACAGCGACACCTAGAGGCAGAGCACAGCACTGCCAGCCTGTCCCTCCCCAGAGCCCCGAGGGAAAAGGAACCCATGCCAGAAGGAGACCACATGGAGAGAGTGCTGGGGTGGGCCTGGGGTGGAGAAGACCTCAGGGCCACAGCAAAAGACCTTTCCTTCTCTCAGTGACCATACGTCTGCCCCAGAACAAGAAGAGCTAAAGGCTGTGGCCAGACTGAAATGGACCAGAGAAGAAATCGCCGAGAGTGGAGTGTGAGGCCCAGGCAGGGCAGCAGGGCATCTGCCCAAGCGCGGGCTGGAGAGGTGTCCTGCAACAAGCTGAGGCAGCATCTTTCTTTCTTGGCTTCAGCAGATTCCAACATCCCTGAGCAGGACCTGGGTGCATCTGGGCCACTCAGGAGCAGCTGAGCTGACACGGCCACTGGCACCTGCTACCCCAGCCCAGTGTCCCGACATGCTTCTCCCCTCCCACCTTGACTGAGTCAAAGCCTGAACAGCCAGAGGGGGTCTGGGAATGGGACATCCTCTCATTCTTGGCCTTCTGTAGGCTCAGAATTCAAAGCACCCTTAAAGGTCAGGGTATTAGCCTAGGGGGGTTGGACAATAAGGATGCTTACTCTCCTTGCCCTGCTGGTGGGGCCTAGGACCCCACGGGATGATCCTCACACAAGCTTAGGGAGGCTCCCGAACCAAAAGAAGGGTTCCCCATCCTGCCAATTGGCACGTGTGCCCAGGGCAGGGACATGCTCTGCAAAGGGCCAGGCATCCTTTCACCACACTGTGACCCCAGGACCAATCATGCCCAGCCAGAGAAAGGAATCGCAGCAACATGCAGTCCTCAGTAGAATCCTAGCAGAGTGAAGGGCAGAGGGTATACTGGTGATGTTTCCTAATCCTAGGTCAGGAGGAAACTCAGATCCACCAGGAACAGTCATGTGGAGCAGCTTCTAGAGACATGGGTCGACTGAGACGACACAGAACTACACCTGCCCTCCTGAGGTCCCCACAACAGCTAGAATGCCAGTCAGAAGTGGGCCCTCTGACCAGCTCCGCTGCTCCAAGCCACCTTCCCAGCTCATTTTCTCTTTGGGTATGCCAATGCTGCAGGTCAGGCGGGCTGGGCAAGGAAGGCCCTTCTCTCCACCAACGGTCCTCCACCCACAGACCTCACTCAGAACTTTGGGAGGGCCACATCAAAGTCCCTTGCTCCTGGAAAGATGCTTCACCATGCCCCCAGCCAAGACTGCCTACCAAAACTCAAGCTCCAGAAAAACCTCTCCCACACGTGGAATTTCCAACTAATTCCCAACTATGGGCTCCTTGCCAGGAAAACGGCCTTCAGGCTAAAGTTTCCACCAACCTATCCCTTTCTTTTGGCTGGCCTGACCCAGAGCCTCTCAATCTCCTGCAGCCACTCAGTTCAGCCCTCAGCCCAGCTTTGGAAAAGGACTTCTCAAAGGAAAGAGAACTAAAGGGCTGTGCCCCGAGGGGATGCTGCCCCTGCTCCTCTCCTGCTCCCGCCACCACCACAACTCAGCACTCAAGTCACAGACACCAGGTGGGAACCTCCGACCAACCCCCCATGCACACACTTTCACACACAAATGTACACACCCACCATGAGCAGGATCCCCAGTGCCACTTCTGGGAAGGACAGGAGAGTCAACTCCTCAGCTGGGGAAAGCCTGACTACAGCATGGGGGTCCGGTCTGGAGGGGGCTAAGGGGCCCACGCTGCTCTCCTCCACCCCCAGCCCTCAGAAGGCACCCACACCAGGGAGCCATGCAGGCAAGGGGAGAGGGGGGTGTGTGCAGCTCAGCATCGGGCAATCTGGCCACTTTGCCTGAAATACAATTTTCTTTTCTTATTGGCCCTGATCATTCTCAGACCCAGAAAGCTGGGTTTTCGAACCAGCAGTGGGAGAAAAGGTCAGGTTTTATAATAGCCCCTTCAGAATGAGAGGCCACTTCCCCAGGGCTGCTTCGAAGGGCTGGGGGATCACAGTGGGCCCAGAGCATCTTCCAGCTTCCCTACTCACCCCTCCCACCCCAGAGAGAAGCTTCCTTCTGCTTAGGGAGGTGGGAAAGGCCACACCCCAAAGCCGAGCCATGCCCCCTAAGAACTCATGCCTGGGGCGGGGAGAGAAAGGGCTTGAGCAAAGAGCCCAGGGCCTGACCAACGTCCACCCTCGCCGACTCTGGATCCCCTGTCCAGTCTGGAGAGTTCTTCTTAGACAACATACCTCTTCCTGTAACCAGCACCTACCTCCCTCCACCCCTGCCTTCCCAGAGCCCCTCCTGCAGGAAAGAAATGGTGTGCTCATGACCCCACCCGGCAGCCGGGCTCACAGCGGGCTACACAGCAGTCTACACAGCAAGGCAGGGTGGCTGGAGCAGCACCGGCACTGAAGCAGATGTGTGCTTCTTTGGCACACACAGAGTAGTTCCCGGGCTCCCTCTATGGGGCACCTACTCGGTGGCAGCAGCCTTGCCTGGGACTCCTGGTCAGCACACAGCCTTGCACACACTCTCTTCCGCACTCAGCTGGGCGACTGCTTTCTCTGGACCCCTTTTCCTAAGCAGCTATTTCACATAGTATAATAGGGGGCGAGTGCCTGAGAATTCCCTGTGGGAAAGAAGGCTGCTGTAGGGATGGGGGGCACCAGGCAGCCCCTCCTCCCTGCCCTGGAGGAAGGGGGCTTTTACAGAATAAGCAGTGGTCTTTGTTCGGATCCGTTTTCCTCCCTCGCGGTGCCCCCCCCCCCACCTTCTTCACCCTAGGAAGCAAACTTTGGCCTCCCTGCCTCTTCTTCCCACCAACTACGGGGTCCCCGGTCCCCAGAGGTGGGCGAGGGAAGGCCGGTTACCGCTGCTCACAGCCCTCCACTCCCGCCCACCCATCTGGCTCCGGTCGGGGTGGGTGGGAGGAAGGGAAAACGGTGGGGAGAAACTTGAAAAGTGTTCCAGGGGGTGGAGCCGCTGGGAAGGGGCTCCTGGAGTGGGGAAATGGGGTGCATTTTTCAGAGGTTGATTGGCAGGTGCCTGCCCGCGCTCCCCCACTGATGTCCAACCAGGAGCTCCTGGAGAACCCCATGCCCTGCACCGCGACCGACTGGGAGCCGACCGCGAACGGTGGACCTAGCACGATTTTTCCCTCCCAGTCTCTGAGCCCCTCCTCTCCTTCCCCTATTCCAGATCAAGAGTTGGATTTTTTTTCTTAAGTTGCCGCAATTTGAACCCATTAATTTGGGGGAAATATGTGAGATCACGGCGTGTGAGCGAGCGAGGCTGTCTGTGCGCCGGGATGATTTGGACGTTGGAAGTCTCCTTCCCAGCCCCCCGCGCAGCCAGCCAGCCGCGACTCTCGTCCCTCCGCCCGGCCCCGCTCGGCTCGCCAGCGCCCGGGCCCGGCTCGCTCCGCGGCGCGCTGTCCCCGCCGGTCCCCCGCCGTCGCCCCGCACGCCCCCCGCGTCCCCCGCTGCTCCCCGCCCGCAGGTACTCACCTAAAAAGAAGAGGAGGCAGAAGGCGTTTGCCAAGATCATGTTAAATAAATCCCACAGTTTTTTTGTCTTTCTCCCTTGGGTAAAAAAAATAACAACAATAATAGTAACAGCCAAGCAGTGATAACCAGCCCCAAATCCAGTGCGGAGATCCCCGCTAGTCCACCCGATGAAGATCCTGTGTCCTGCGATTCTCGCCTGTGGCTGGAGCGGGTGGGGTGGAAAGAGGGCGGTGGGCTGCCTCTCGACGCCCCCTGCCCACTAGACTCCAACGCACACGTATCTGTGTGTGTGTCCGCTCTGCGCGCCAGCAGCCGGGTCCGAGGTCAGCCCGCCCCTCGGCTGGTCCGGGAAGGCGCGAGTCCCCGCGGGTCCAATCCCCCTGCGCTTACCCGGGAGGGACTGGGGAGGTGGGGAGACGCGATTTGAGAGCGGAGGGCTGGAAGGAAGCGGCGAGGGAGAGGGTCAGAATAAAATGGAAAAAGGAAAGAAATCCACAGACGGGCGTTAGCGCCCAGGAACGATCCGGCTGGAGCTTCGAGGACGAGAGACCCGAGGCTTCTTTCGCACCGAGACGAAGCAAAGATTCAAAACAATCTCCCGCTCACCCTTGCTCGGCTCACTTTCTCCTAATGGAATTCCGGTGGCCGTGTGTCCGTGCGTGCGTGTGTCTTTCTCTCCGCTCTCCTCCCCCTCCCTCGCTCTTTGCTCTCGCTCTCTCCAGCTCTCCCCGCTCCCCTCTCCCTCCCCCTTCTCCCTCTCCCCTGCTCCTCCCTCCGCCCGCCCCTTCCCCCTTCGCGGCTCCCTCGCAGCCGCTCTCGCGCCCGCGCCCCTCTCCCCCGCCCCGGGCTCGGCGCTTGGGCTCCCGGGCGGCGCGGAGCGCGGGAGCGCGGCGGAACAGC